TCCTCCTCTTTTTGGTTTTTCAAGACAGGGTTCCTCTGTGTAGTTTTGGTGCCTGCACTGGATCTTGCTCTGTAGACCAGGCTGGCTTCGAACTCACAGAAACCTGCCTGGCTCTGCCTCCTGAGTGCTGGGGTTAAAGACATGTGCCACCGCCACCCGGCTTATGCGGGCCATTCTTATTCAAACCATTACAGTCACAGTGGGAAATTCCGGGAGCAGAGGCTCAGTGAGACAACCATAATTACTATTGGTGGTGGTGACTCACGTCCAGTGTTCAGCTTTGGTAAGATGTAATGAGAACTCACTTTGTGTTCATAATCTTTCTCCTAGGGAATCATGGGAAATATCACAGAAATCCCAGTCAAGTGACATTCTGCACAAGCCCTCAAACAGTGCTCCTTAAAGCTACTGAGGTCACCAAAATCAAGGATAATCTGATACTGTTCTCAAGGAGGCTCAGAATGTAAGTGAGCTGTAGTATTCTGATGGGCTCCTGAGACAGAAAATGGCTGTTCAAACAGTATACATAGCTGGCATGGTATTGCAGGCCTGTAAGGCCAGCACTCAGGAACCTGAACAAGAGAAAAACCTGGACACAGAGCAAGACTGTCTCAAAACAAAACCTTAACTTGTTAAGAATGACTTACCAACATTAGATTATTAACTGAAACACATACGATGTTAGCATTCAGGAAAATTAGCTATGGTATATAAGTGAAAATGAATTGTACTGGCTTTATAATTTCCCTCAAGTCTGAAGTTTTTATTTCACAAAGACATGAAACCTCTCCATGTAGGAATGGGGAGAATGACATAGTAAAACTTAAAACTATGATAGAGTGAGGCACTAAAGTTGAGTAAATCACAGGGCTATTCATCAACACTGTTGATTCATTCATCAGGGCACCTGTGAGAACCTGGTGCCTCCAGTCTACAAAAAGCAATTCTTGCCCAGCTTGATCATCACTCAGGGATTTTAACACAAAATGACTGAGCTGTTGCAAGGGATAAGGGGGGAAATACTTTCTATAAACAGGGAAAGGAAAGAGAAAGCATAGACGTAGTTCAAAAATGAACTATGGAGCTAGGGGCTGGAGAGATGGTGCCTCGGTGGAGAGCACTTGCTGCTCTTGTAGAAGACCAGAGTCCAGTGCCCAGCACCCACACTGGGCAGCTTATTACAAAGGGATAGGATGCCTCTGGCCTCAGTACCTAAACACACACAAACACACACACACACACACACACACACACACACACACGAACACACAGGCACACACAGGCACACATGCATGTATGCATACAGGCACACACGTACAAATCTTAAATATGTAGTTATACTAGGAATATGAAAAAATATTTAAATTTTAAAAATGAATAAGGGGACTGGATTCAGGCAAAGAAAATAAATTAAAATACCAGAGACACACAGAGATGGAAAAGAAGTGAGGTGTCCAAGAGGAAACAGCTGTGCTAGTGAACGAGCACCTGGAGGGAGGCAGGAGGATCAGGAGTTCAAGGTTATCCTTGGCTACAAACATGAAAAACTAAACAACCACAAAACAAACAATAAAAAAAAAATAACAAGAGCTACAGAATGAGAAGAAGGGAAAGCAGGAAGAGCTAATATTTGAGGTGATGTTATCAAGTGAGTTTGCAGAACTGAGAAATAAAAGACAAATCCTCAGGGTGAAGGATTAAACAGAGTTCTATGCAAAATAAAATTGAAACAAATACACACCCACAAACTTAGTAGCAGAAGTCTAAATGTCAAAGGCAAAGAGGAAAAATAAAATAAAATAAAAGCTGCCTACGAGGAAGCTGGCAGGCATGTTAAGTGAAATAAGCCGGGCACAGAAATAAAATGGCAACTTGTGGCCCTAGCTTGTGGACTCTAAACATTGGGCTCACAGAGCACAGAATGGTGATTGCTGCGGGTGAGGGACATGGGGATGTGAGAGAACTGTGGTGTCAGTTAAAGGGTGCAGAAGTCCGTATAAGGGACAACACAGCACAGTGACATCAGCTAGCACCAGCAGACTACAGACCGAGAAATGCTAAAACAGTAGATAGGAAATAAAGACTCACCACAAGCAAATGTGAGGCAATGTCTACATTTTTGATGGCTATATAAGATTAGAAAATTAAAAAAATAAAGTAACACAAAACACTTCCTACAAATGAATGCCACTCAGGTAGCAGACCCTTGTCACAAACACTAGCTGTCAGAAGCAACACAATCATGTCTTCCCATGACTTAGGAAAAGTGGCAGCCAGCTTTGTTTTCACTGTGCAGCCGATGTGTCAGATTTCTGCTACTCTAACAAAGTACCCGAGACAGTCAGCTTACAAGGAGCAAAGGTTTATTTTGACTCCGATTTCAATCCAATGCCGGCTGACCTGTGGCCGTCAAGCCTGTGGCTGTAGATCATGGTAGGGGTGGGACATGGTGTGGAGCAGAGCAAAGGGAGAACAAGAGAAGAAACTGGACGCCCCACGTTTCCAATGACCTACCTTCCTCGCGTTAGGCCCCACCTCCTAGAGGTCTCCACTTCCACAGAGAACTAGAGTCACTAAGATCAACCCTTTGACAAGTGAGCCTCTGGGGACCCTGATCCAAATCATAGCTTGTTAAACTGTCATTCCAGAACAAGAGGTCCTCCTCCTAGAGGAAGGGTCTTGCTAAATTCCCTGAGCTAGCCTTGAATTCTCTTTGTAGCTCAGGTTTGCCTTGAATTAGCAACCTTTGTACCTCACTTTCCCAAATGCTGGATTTCCACTTATGTGTCACTGTGCCTAATAAGTCTCAAGCCTCCAAAGAAATTCTTTCCATTAATTTCTGTCATGTCAAATGTATCAGATCAGTTTATCTGACACCCATTCCCACTGCTTTCTTATACTACAGAGGCCGGAACAAAAAAACCGAAAACCAAAAACCCCCCCACTGTGTTCTCAACTCCTTTGCAGTCAGTGATACACACGTCATGTTCCCGAATGGGAAACAGTCTTGAAGTTTAGAGGGCAAAGTGAGCTTTCTGAGGGCAAAGCTGTGTTCAGGTCAATGAGCGCTTCCCAGAAGCCCTGGGTTGGAGGAACCTGCTTCACCCATGGCAGCTGTGACAGAGACTTGCTCTCCAAGAGCTGAGTGTTGGCCAGCAGGGTTTGCTCTTCACATACCAACCGGGTAACTGAGCACATCTTCAAGCTGCCTCTGCCTGTACAGCATCCAAACCTCATTCCACAGTAATCCCAGAAGTCCTGCGACCTCTCTGAGACCCTGTAACAAACTGCGTTCAGATTTCAACTTTCAGAAGCATTGTTACAGCTTTCCCTTGATGTGATAAAATACCCATGAAAAATAACTTAAGGAGAAAATATTTTGACTTACGTTTGCAGTGGTTCCCCCCTCAATGGCCGCTTGGTTTTATTGCTTTGGGGCCTGTAGTGGGGCAGAACTAGGAGTCTGTGGTAGAGAGAGCCGCTCACCTCATGCTATCTAAAGCTAAGAGCACGTGTAAAGGCCTGGAGACAGCCCGCACTCTTCAAGACTGTGCCCTTAGTGACATTCTTTGTCCAAATGGCCCCACCTCTACAGTGTCTGCTGACGCCCTGTAGTCCACTCAGCTATGAACACACCGAAGGTTTAGCCATCGTAAAATCTGAGCCCTCATGATCCAGTCACCTGGAGACATTGCTGCTCAGAGAACCAAACCTCCACCACAAGTTAGTGTACCCGAGCTATACACACACACACACACACACACACACACACACACACACACACACACA